TTCGATTCACATATCACGTTTGACGGTTTGAGACATTGATGATAACATTTTCCAAAATTTGCTTCCAAATTTTCAAAAGCGAGTTTTTTTAAGTTTAAAAACTCAAGCTGTGAGCTTTGAGATATCCTAAGAAATACAATACAATACAAAACACTACAATAACAATACAGTATGATGGTCTTACAAGGGATATTACACAGTTACAGACATCTTCATAGTCCTTTTATTTCAGGTTATAGATACAGACATGAATATAAGCCCAGAATCTTGACATGATAACAACAATTCTCTTTATGTAACAGTTCATTTGTTATGGTACAAAAAAATTATCAATTTCAATTGGTATCTGAACAATGGTATTGATCATTTGATATCCAGCTCATTAGCCTCATTTTAAAACGGGTTTGTATGCACTGTACCGCATAGCTTATTCATTTCACCAATTTCCACACTATATTTGCAGTGTAGCGGTTATTCCATGTTTTGGGTGTATTTTGAATAAAATATACACAATTTTCGATAAAAGACGCGCAACTATGATTCTGCAATACAAATCTAGTATAGTGGGACCCTTAATGAGGTGGCGACAGTGTCACTTCCGTCTTCGTTTTTTGCACGAATTTATTAAGAGATGCGTTACCCAGTCTTAAGGCGGATTTCCATTCAGTGCAAAATGTTACAATCGCTATCTAAAATGCTACAATCGCTATTTAAACAGTGAGCTCCATATATATCTGGAGCGAGAACTCGAGTTCAAAAAGTGAAGTCAGCTTGTTAACCGCGCAGACAATGACGTCGAATATAGCGGCTTCAACTTCCGCCATTTTGGCAAGAAGTGTACCGAAGTTTCGTATTTTGACATCGATTTAAGGATATAACACTGTAGTTTTATGAACTGATAACTTGGTTAACGATACGGTCCGTTCGAAAAAATTGGAATTAGCTATGGAATAAAAGCTGTTTACGACCTGCAGACCCATTTGACGTCAATGGCCGCCACCTTGGCTTTTCTCATGGGCCGAATGACTGAAGTTCTTGCTCTAGATATATATGGAGCTAACTGAGCTAGCTCACTAGTTCTAAATCGTACTGTAGTCTGTTTCAGTTTATTGAAAGAAAACTGTGCTTCATATACCTTATCTTAAATACTAAGTAGACCTGGAGATTAAGTGGCCGTCTCACTATGAACCATGCAGAGCGTTTCAGGTTGAAAATTAGATTTCCTTTATATTTTTACCATTAACTATCTTTGTCCTAAAAGGTATTGAACTAATATTAGAGTTTCTAAATTTTTCTTTTTTTTTGAGTTATGACAAATTTTTGTCTGGACGTCAGCGACACTGAAATTTGACTCCGAAAACGGCGGTCAAATGTGTGTTAAATTGTGCATCATAACTCGGAACGTTTCAGCGTATTGAGACCATAGATCTTTTAGAATGTTGGAAGAATTTGAATGTACATCTTATTTTAAGCCTACTAGTCTCCATCCAAGGAAGTCTGTATTTTCGTTCACCGAACAACTAATGATTAGGTACAAAATTCAAACTAAAAGTGCAACCTACCTGGTGTCTAAAACACTTTTAGGGTTAAAGTAGAATACTTAAAGTTATGTTATTTGCAATAAAACTTGTCGGCAAAAGGAATATGAAGGAGTGCAAAATTCATAAATTATGGCTATAAATAGCTCTATTGTTTACCTTTGTGATAACCGGAAACACGTTCAGCGTTACTCGCGGAGCTTTTATAAATTCATATCAGGCTGACAGCAATTATTATAAATATAAAATAGTGTTCATAAGTTCTTATATTTGAATACAAACACCGCCTTGTAATTTTTTTAAGCTTTCGGAAAGCCTTTACAATTGATCGTTTTAAACTTGATTAAACCTAATTACCTGCCTGATTGCGCCGGTAATTAGGTTTCGAGAAATGCGTTCTGTTAGTTGGAAAATTATGCACTTGATTCCTCTTATGACGATGCATGTTGGCGTTTAAGGCGGCCTTTTCTTTTAGGAGATGGTCGAATGAGGTCAGGGAGTCTTGGACGACTGTTTCATTGGGATTGCTATATTTCATAAGAGAGTCATTAACAACTGGCCCTCGGGTATTATATTATTTCTCATTGTCTGTCGCAGATGGTAAATTATTCATATTAGTGTTTGATGTCTTATGATGCGCTATAGCGCTTATAACCTTTGGTACAACTGGCGTGAAACGACGCGTATGATTTATGTGACATGCACAAACAGCAGAGCCTATCTGTTTTCAAAATAATGATGCTGAAAGAAATTTGTGCGCATTTTGAACTTCAGTTCAAATCAAAGGATAAAAAACAGACTCTCATAGATAAAATATCATCCATGATTGGGCAATGCACATGTTTCCAAATAAATATAATAACTAAACTGTGCAGGTGCGGACAAATACTCCCAGACTAACATGGACATGTCGAGAGATGTCATTGTTCTTGGTCCGCGAGTGTGTGGAGCCTGGAACAGTATCGTTAACCCAAATCAAGTACTAAAAACGCCGCATGCAAACTATGATTATTTTTTATTGCAATAATTTATACTACAATTATGAGAAAAATCAAATTTTGCCGAAAAATACCAATTGAAGTTGAAAGTTATTCACAGAATGGCGATTAGCTGCAAACTACTGTAAAATTATTATTATTATTGCTGTATAGATTAAAGATAAAGGACAGGTCTCAGTATACGTCGCATGGTTTGCATGAAACGACAAAAATTCTGCCAAATGGGCAATGCGGAAACTTTTAACAGAATATAATAACAAGTTCACGGATTTACTAATTCGATGCGACGTTACGGCAACACACATTTTCGACAGTTGGCATTGTACCTGTCCGGTCATGAGGGATACAACGTCCTAAAACTCAAAGATCCGTCGCATTTCATCTATCGAATTAAACTTTTCTGAGTTAAATACAATGATTGTGCAATATATTAGTCGCTATAAAAACTCCCAAAGGTAAACAAAAGAGCTATTTATAGCCATAATCTATGAATTTTGCACTCCTTCATATTCCTTTTGCCGACAAGTTTAACTGCGAATAACATAAGTTTAAGTATTCTACTTTAACCCTAAAAGTGTTACCAGGTAGGTTGCACTTTTGAGAATTTTTAGTTTGAATTTTGTACCTAATCATTAGTTGTTCGGCGAACGAAAATACCGACTTCCTTGGATGGAGACTAGTAGGCTTAAACTAAGATGTACATTCAAATTCTTTCAACATTCTAAAAGAAGAAGAATATGTCTCAATACGCTGAAAAAGGTTTTTAATTTGATGCGAAACTTCCAGAGTTATGTAAGTAGTTCCATAACTCAAAAAAATAGGTACGCACTGCACTGCGTACATGTTGCATGCCATCTGAAACTTATGATCATAGATATCTTATATAAGATATCTATGCTTATGATGCGCTATAGCGCTTATAACCTTTGGTACAACTGGCGTGAAACTTAAAATATCGATTCAATAAATTTAATATCAATATACTTATTGCAAAATAGCTATTATGTCAAAATAAGAAAACTTAAGACTCTCACGCGAATTTGCCTACGGAGACCCCAGCAGAAACACGCGAATATAGACAATGTTTTTTTAAGCGACCGTTAATAGTTAGTTGCAAGCGACGGTAATAATAACATTAAAGGGAGTAGGGATCCTACAGTCATTTTTTAGTCGAAAAGCCACCTTAAGTAGGGGACTCCACGGAGATTCGTTTGGCTGTATCTTACATGCAGTATCCATGAATATGAGTACTTCCGCACACCGGAAGACGCATGCATGCCGTGATGCGCATGTCAAGTAGCGACAATTACACAAAAATGTAAACAATACTTACTTGACTAAAAAATTACTGTAGGGCCCCTTTAACAATGTCAAGGCGTGTCAAGGTTTTATCAAAAGCGATTGACTGTTAGATTTACTTTACAAATTAATAACTAAACAACGTTATTTTATATAGATATAGCTTTATTGTAACTTTTTAATGGGTATAAAAAACGCGTGGAAACGGTGAATTACTACAATAGATTGAAAATGATTATTATTTATCATTTTGACGTTTGAGTGATTGAAATGAGTTAATTTACACTATATCGAATGTCATGTTGAATCTTATGCGTACTTCACAATGGTTGCTATTTCGTTGTATATTTCAATCTCGATTTCAATTGTATTACTATTTATAATTTAAATTGTGTTTGATATTTATATTTCATGTTGTTTACAAAATGTGCTGTAGTTTTGAAGCTTTGCACACAATGTAATCAGTGTGAGCACAATGGCTCCGTTTCAGTTTGAGTATATAAAAATCGAGTATTTTGCTGCTTTGAGGCTTTCACGCGGTATATAAATATAAACGCGTAATAGTTGATAAATAATCAGTGCGAGCACAACGGCTCCAAAATCACAACAAATAACAAAATATAAGGTAAGTTAAAACAGTAAAGCTTTACCTACCTCGATTTATTTTTCTAAGGTGCTCGATTATGTAAATTTTCGGCGAATAATCAATATATAAATTTTCTTTGCGTTTCCTCGACGAAAACCCGGTATGAAAATGCTCGTCGGAAACTTGGTATTTGTCGTATTTTACGAATCTGCCACGTGACTGGTACGCTCACCGCTCACCGATCACCGTTCACCGAACACGACACGAAATTTAGAGCTATATGAAAGTTGCATGCCATATATGGCATGCAACAAAAAAGAAAAATTTAGAAATTCTAATATTAGTTTAATACCTTTTAGGACAAAGGTAGTTCATGGTAAAAATATAAAGGAAATCTAATTTCCAACCTGAAACGCTCTGCATGGTTCTTAGTGAGACAGCCACTTAAATTCTTAACGACTTAAATACTTGACAATAATTTTTGGAGTACAAGCGAGGGACAAAAAAGTCTTGAATTATCGCACCTTTTATTGCTTGGCAACTGTACTCATTATAAAAACATGAAATTATGTCCTGTTATCAGTTTATAACCATGGATCCCTCTTCTTCTTTCGCACCTCCCTCCTCGTCGCTCTCCTCATCTTCATTTCCTCCAAAACCAATATCTTTTAAAAGCGCGAGGTGAGACATAACTGGACGATTGATATGGGATCCGTCTACCTTGTCCAAAACATCTTCAGTACCAGTGAGATACTTGGGCAAAAGCGATGTTAAAGTTTGTAAGAAATTCTTGTAACCAGTCGAACGCCATGATTTTAGTGCTTTGTCTCGAAGCTTTTCTGCATATTCCATACTTTCTAAAAACCCATCTTTGTTTGAAATTTGTTCATCTGATGCTTCATCCAGTGGAAGCACAGCAATGTAATCCCTTGGTGGTATATGCTTCAGGTAACAAACTTTCACGTGTTCCTTTTCCTCGCAGAGGGGAGTGAAAACAAACGAGCACAAGTGAGGTCGTAATACCACAATCTTGAAGCGAGTGCAGTTCGCGAACGCCATTAAAACGAAGTTACATTCAAACACCTGGCCTGACAAGAAAGATCCGTCTTTAATGCTTCTCACATATTCACGAAATGTCAAGAGATTTTCCTTGCTGTTATCAATCATGTCCTTGTAGCGGGTTGGGTGTGAGATCAGTTCGTCCACGACAGCATTTCTTAATCTGACAAAAAGAGTATACTTGGTTTTTGTGACAACGACGTACATTTATATTTGATGATAACAAGACGTGTATTAAGGTACGTTTACACGTTGCGATGTGTGCTGTACGATTGGTATTCCGGCCTATAGGCCGTTAAAATTTTAATTTTCAAAATTTAGTGAATGTTGATTGGTTAATACTTCAGTAGTACTCCAAAAAGTTGACTTGCGACGAACTTTTTATTTTGATACGCGAATGAACTGAAATTACGTATATTTGAAAACCCATCTTCAAGCTGCGCATGCTGACCGGTACGTTACGGTACAATAGGACGAAGTGGAAAACAGCCTTATGACTACGTAATCGACAAGTGTAAAGTGGTTGCAATTCAAGTTTCGTCATAACAAAATGAAGAGGAATTGTGATGTCAGCAGTAATTCTCATGGCCAGAATACGAATCTAACACGACAAATCGCAGCGAAATAAACGTATCATTAGATTCACGACCACGCAATGTTGTCTGTGAAAGAGCACACTTATTTTTACTAAACGTTTAATGGTACTATAAACAAATCAGGAGTGTGGAATGGGAACAAATTTGATAAAAAATATTAAAAATGGAGGTGTTACATTTTTCTCTTCACAATTTCAGGAGCTTCATTGAATAGAATTGCAGTATAAATATTGTAGAAATAAACGCAGTGAGTATCCATAGCTAATACTTTCAAGTAAAAGAAGAAGTAAAAGAACAAAAGTGGGGTACGTCAGTGCATCTTAAAAGTCATGGTCAAAATTTGGCCAAAAGTGCAGGTGGCGGGCTTTGTTATTTTTATTTTCATATAAATATCTCCGTCAAATAAGCACATGACAAGGTATACTTTATTTTTGCATGACAAGGTATACTTTATTTCAGGACTGCTATACTGGACTTCTACAGTATCGAGTGACCAACCATTTACAAAGGAACTCACGAAAATGTTAAATTTTAACGTGACAAAAGTTGCTGTTTGTGGATAGAAAATTTTAAATCGGGCGGGAACTATCAACAGCTATTTTTTTAATTGGCCAAATAAATAAATAATCATGTGATGTTCCTCGTTCAATTAAGAATTACCAAAACTTGTCATTCTTAAAAAACTTTCCAAATTGCACTCGCCCCGGCGGGTTTCATGTTTTTAAGGCGCCCACGAAAGGGAACTGTTCTTCACTGGAACGAACGTTAACAT